TATTATTATGTGATATATTTCATGTTCATTATTTGTTTAACTGTATAAATATATATTTGTTAATTATATAACGCGATTTTATAATTATACAATTTATACTAGCAACAATTGAATTTTACTTTCTGAACGAAGGGCGTCTCATTGAACTGTCGAATTGACGAACTCCCGTCTCCATCACTTCGTTTCCATGAACTTGAGAGGAAACATTCTCATTTTTTCCAGATGAATCCTCGATTTCGGCTTCATGTTCTTTAAGATCCATGCAATTCGAAGATTGCGCATTTTCAGGAATTCCATCTACGTGCAAATAATCTTCAGGCCAGAAATTTTCCTATTACATAAATTATTATATAAATTATTTAAGTATAAATTAGTATACAATTTTAATGTAGAAAATGTTAAAAAAGATAAATTTTCACACACAAGCACAGTGTATAAAAATCTGCCTTTTTTATTGCTCACTAAAAGCAAAAAAACAATGTTTAATATAAATTCAAAAATATTTGATACAAAATATAATTTAATTAGCGATAATGTAAATAACTCTTGTGCCTATTTGGTATAAATGTAATGTAATTAATAACTGTATACAGTAAAACTCCGAATATATTAGGGCACAAGACATTTCCGATAATAAAGGCTCACTAGTACTTATTCCGATAATAGGACCTAACTTTCAGAAAACTGAAGTCGAACACGTTGAGCTCTTATTACCCAAATTACGGCGTCTTTACTTCAGATAATAAGAGCTCAGTATATGAGTTCGTAAATTTGGAACTGAATACGAACTTGTTCGTATAAATAGAATGCAAATGAACAAAGTTTCATTCTATTGTATATTATTTTACGAAGATCTTACCTTTTAATTGATCATAATAATAATATAATTTATGTTCTATTTTGTTAAACAACTAAACAAATTAAAATATTTTTAAAAGGATTTTTATTTCTCGAAGTGAAATATGTATATATTTTATATGAATATTTTATACCTTAGATAGTTCTTTAACATTTGCACCGAATGCGCGCCGATATTCAGAAGCTGAACACTGGACTATCGATTCTGGGTAAGATTGCAGATTGTCCTTCGGTTGATCCTGCACCCGTTTCCTCCGATAGCGAGCCAGCTCGTCGACCGTTAATTCCTCCAAGAATGGCCATCTTTCCTTGGTCTTGCTCTTACGTCCTTTGTCCTTGCCCTTACCATGCGCTACCTCGGAATCCGAGGACGACTTACCGACACCACGAGGGGAGGATCTTTGCCTAATTGTAATCGATTAGAAAAATGACACCGCTTAACAGAATTTAAAATCTACTGATTTTATTTTTATTAAGTAATATTTTATCTTAAAATAATTTTATTTTGAAAAATAATTGCCAAGCTTTTTTTTTAATTTTTATTATGAAACTTCGTTTAGACCGTCGGCTTCACAAGTATTGCGGGCGAGCAGGACCATTCGCGACATGATGTGGCTAGACAGCTTGAGCTTACTGAAGATGATGAGGAACCGAAGTCGCGAATTAAGGATATAGGAGGGCGGGCCGGCAGGAGCGGCGAGGAGGCACAGGGAGGACGAGGAACAGGAAGAGAGTGGTACGATGGTACCGAACATGCCGTTACAACGGCTCTCCCAGACGCGACGAATCGATCTGCAAAATGCGCGGAGAGCTTGAAAAATAAATCTCATCCTGGCTTAATAGCTTGTGCGCACGTCAGTCTTCGCGAATTTATGTCAAAGATAAACATGATATGCGTAAGATGTTTTCAAAATATCGTAATTTTGACTATAATTATTACCATGGCAAAGAAATTTTGAGAATTAAATGAACTTGTTTTTTTTTTTCTAATAAATTGTAACTACTTATCGAATATCTCTGAAGAGGAAAATATAATAAAGGTGATCGAGAAATTAATATGATCTTTATAATTAATAAATAAATTATTTATCATAAATAATTTGTCTAAATGTTACACTATTTCTACTTTATCTACTTTATTAAACTAAATTTCCTATACTTAATTTATTTGAATCAGCAAAGAGTTTAATCAAGTAAATGTATACTTTTATCACTTTCATGCTGATTTTCTAAACATAATTACATAGTCGCAAATGGGACGAGCGACTGACTCTAAAAAAATTATCTGTAGAATAGCATGTTTATGATCTCACTGTTGCCAAATATTTTGCATATGTGCAGGTTAAAGGCAACTATACGGCACGTAAAGAGCATGTAGATATTTTTCCCTTCCGCTTTAAACTCTTCCTCGTCGGAAATTTGATAAAGCGAATTGACAATCTGTTCGAACCTGACAGCTTGTTTTGATATCGTTTTATTCGACACGAATTATGTATACCATATTCTTTCTTTTTCTTTCTCGTCCTTACAGCTCGCGCGTTCGTCGATTTATTCTCTGGTCGATTCGTAATACCGAGGTTTCGTTTTGCTCGACCCAATGGCCCCGATTTTAACGGACCCTATCCTACCCCCACACTGACTTTCTCCGCACGACAAATCTGTATGGGCGGCTAAATTAATGTCCGTACCACGTGGTTCTTGCACGCACCGGCCGACACGCGATTCAATATACCACCGGGTTCGCCGGCCGGTCAGTTATTCTACTGTCGCGGTGCGTGATTCAATCTGAACGCATTTTACAGAGCCACCGTAGGTGGCTTGCACGCGAGCTTTCTTCATGGGAGGAATCCAGGCCGTGGCCATCAAAAGTCTCACCTATCTCGTCTCTTATCGCCATTGCTTTTCAAATTAGTACTATAATTAGATGTGCTAGCGAGACGAATTGAATATTTTATTTAGCGATATTTCAACCCTTGTCTATGTTTTATTTATGCCCTAGTCCCCTAAAATTCCGCAGCGCCACATTTATTTGATGGAACACCTTTTTACCGCATTACTTTGTAAAATTAATGCAGTAAACGATATACATCTTGTTTAAACTGTTAAATTGTCTAGGCGTGATCTAACGATCGGGATAAATGGGATTAAACGGCGATGATCATTTAGCTGAAAGCATACTTGCGAAGTGCTTGCCACTTATCAAATTGAAAAAGACTCTTGAAAGTATCGCGCAAAGGCGAGAAATCAAATCAATAATATCGATGATTATAATCTTCAATATTGATAATAGATTGTTATAATTAATAGCTATCTAATTATGGATATTTTATAGAGGATGTATAAAATCCTGAATTTTAAATACACATAAAATAAATGCATTATTAGCACAGCATACATTTCTATTATTTATAAAATATACTTTATTTTGTCATTTAAATCTTGTAATATCTGTATATTATTATAACTACAGCAGTAATGTATTTATAAACGTTTCATATATATCTTTTTATAAACGAAAATTTATTAAGAATAAAAATAATAATAAACAAATAAAATAATAATATCATAAAAAAATGTTAAATGCAATTATCATTGTTTTATACAGAAAAGAAAATGAGCGAAAACAATATTCTTATAAAAAATTTATTTTAATCGCGAATTGTTTTCCACATAAATAAATAACGGAAGTTTAGAAAGAAGTAAATAATATTTTCTAAATTCTTTGGAATAGAATCTCACTTTAAAAAATTAAAATTGAGCCAATCTTGAACAAGAATCAATTTTCAATCTGCAAAAATTTCACTCTTTCATAAAAGTTTCAGAGAGTGGAAAAAGGTAATTTAATATTATTATTTTGTATGTAATAAATATATTTGGTTTGGATTGGACTAGTCTTTATCTGGCAAAAGATTTAAATTTTTACAGGAAACAGCACGGCAATGCGAGCGGGCAAATAATTATTCTACGAATCCGAGTTAAAGAGTTAATTAAACGGCGTAACTTCGATCGTGGCAAGAAGCAGCGCGAAATGTTACCTTTTGCCGGGATGGTCGCTTTTGCCCTCGCCCATCGCATCGTCCTACTCAGCAATTGCTCCTTCGAAGGATGCGAAGTGGTGACGGTCAAAAAGATCGGGGGATGTATCGTCTTCGAATTGGTATTCGGTAAATGAAGAAGAGGAAAAGGTACGAAGAAAGATGTAAGCCGAGCCAAGCCTTCCTTCTGGCGTGACTAGCTTTTCGGAGATGTTGATAAGAAGGTGAGAACCGGTGTGATACACCTGCGCAGTTGTGAGGGTTGGTCCGCCCCGTGGCAGGGTGGTGAATAGGTAGTTTTGAGACGTCAGTTTAGATGGAGACTATAACTTGTTAGTTAAATAACGCAGTTTAATAAAAGATCAAAAGCAATAAAATACAATTTCAGTCTTGGAAATATCCTGTTAAGTTAGAATTTTGAGATTAAGATTATAAAAGAGAGCTGTTTCAACATAATTCATCATACTACAGTGTACAATGTGTTAAAAGAATTCCAAATAAAGTATTTTATTGAAATTTTCAATCTTAAGGATATTTATTGTAAATAATTAGGATAATAATAAAGTATTTATTAAATAAAATATAAATTATATGTTGAGCCTATAAATTAAATTGCAGGATTGCTTAAAGAGCGCAAATAATTTATCAAATGTCAAATCCGCTTTATTATCTTATTTGAATTATTTGTATTCGATAATCTGCAGAGAAATCCATATCTTACAAATAATATATTATAGAGTGATACGTGTTTTAAGTGTATAATAATAAATAATAAATGAAATATTGAATAAGTACATATAATATATAATAAGTTGATACATTGATAATTAAATTTTATATACAAATTAGATAGTTTTACTCCTGCCTTTTAATAAAACTTTGAATAGTTGATTAAATACTTGATAAATAACTTGATAAAAAAACAATTTATTAAGTTTAATATACAATTAGATGTAAAGAATGAAATTTATATATATTTTAATAAAAAACATATTGATGTTATGATATGATAATCATTATATTAATTTATATAAATTAATTCATTAATTTCTTATATGAATTTCTTATATCAATTTTTCTATATTATTTGTATCTAATTGTATGTAATTTTAATGTATTAAAAAATTTTAATAAATCAAAATGATTTCACAAATTAATGTTATTTTATTTTCTTTAGTAATCGAAATCGTACACAATTTCAATTTACTTTTAAAATATAAAAAATTACAGAAGAAGTAATATAGTACTAACTTAATTTCTGTAAATTCTTTTTCATCAAAATAAAGACAAATTTTATCTTTTTAACTTTATTAATAATGATACATACCATGAGTGAAGTTTGAAAAAAATTAATTGTATTATGCAACATTTGAAAAAATTCAATCGGATTATTTTGAAAACATTTCATCAATTAGACATATAATTTCTTTGAACTTGCTGAGTCGCGCGTCGTATATCTTCAATGTCTTTGCGGTATTTCCGGTGGAACTCGAAGTTATACCAGATCGCACGTAATTATTTATCCTTTGGGAACATTCGTAAACGCGATGTAGTTCAGGATGCAATGTTTCGTGAACACGGAGGCGCTAGTGGACAAATTCCCTTCTCAAGAAAATTCCAAGAATTGTCGGCGCCAGCTGTCGCCACAATCGCGATCATCTGATCGGCTGTCAAAAGTCTTCAACCGCTCAACCACCGTGCATCTGTTACTCTGTTTGACAGGATCAGTAGATCCTGCAGGATCAGCGAGAGTGAAAATGTTCGGAAGAATATCGTGGTATCGTTTGGTTTCAAAATGTTCGTGAGAAGATAGTATCGGTGAGAATGAACAAGAACATGAATTCACCGTCGAAACTCACGGAGTTCGCTCCGTTGAGTCCCGAAGAGAGCCAACCCGTAGTAGCTTCACTCTTCTCCAAGTTCTTCAGCTTCACCAGGAGTTAGTATTCTGAGCATAGATCTTTATTACTTATTACAATTATTATTTTTTATAAGTAAGATGATACTGAAATTGATGGTTGGTAATGCATACTTTTTCTAAGGATGAAAAAAGGTCATACAAATATAGATCCTGAAACTCTTCCTTTCCAAGATAAACACTTTTTGTTTATGATGAAAAATGTACTTTTAGCAAGACATTGTCTACGAGAAAAGATCTCTTAGATGCAAAGCTTCTATGGTATCTTCTTTAGTTTGTCTATATGTCAACTGAACATCTGTTCATTCAATATATAGAATAACAAAATCTGATGATATTAGGTCTGTTATTTATCGATAAGTTTTCTGAACTGACACACATCGATGTGATAACTCAGACAAGATAATATATATATTTAAAAGATGTTATAAAGACATCATGAAGACGTCTTTTGGATATAATGTCTAAAAGACATCTAAAAATATCATAAAAGGTCTTCTGAACAATGCGTGTTATTTAGGAAGTTGAAGTGATTAAATATAGTTCATTTATTATTTCCCAGATAGTCAAATAAGGACAATATGCCATTTTGCCGTTACTTATTTCGCATTCAATTTCATCAAATTAAAGCTAAGATGTTTCCACAAACTGTCTATTGTTCTGATGTCACGTAGTCTCTCTTAGAATTCAGCAAATTGCTGGCAAGTTGTCATGTGTGCATGGCGTGCCATCAATTTGCTATCAACGTGACGTTTATTATTTTTCAATGTATATTCTTACAATTTCGTAAACTCATGAAATTTATTTGCCCTCCTGATGCTAATTCAGTTCACATTAGATTCCAATGACAGCAAATTGTCGACAAGTTGAAAACAATACATGCAGTGCATTAATTTGTTCCACATGCTATATCTTGCTTGGTTATCTGAATTGTTTTTAAACTGATTTAGTATGATATATTTTATCTTCAATGTCAAAATGATATACTTTACTATATTCTTTACTTCTAACAGAAGAAAAGTGATAGTGCTTGTAATTCTTTGTATTATAACTATTCATCAAAAATTTTGATGCAAATATGTTTACATCTCAAAAAAGAAGAGTTCCGAATCTATGGCATTCAACAGAAAAAGCAACTTTGCACAACTGTTGAAAGATTTTTTAATATGATTGATTATTATACATTTAGATCTAAGGAACTGAAAGCAACAATCATTTTAATTAAAAGAATCTAACAACAGTTGCAAAATTGCTGAACGCAACCTAGATTTATATTTGGATTTTTATTTTCATTCTTAAGAAGAAAGCAAAATTATACTGTGAGACTTATTCCAGTGTCATCCTATATGTAGTTATCAATCCTATATGTTATTATGTTATTCATTAAATATTAAATGTATGTTGTTATAATAAAAAAAGATTGCAATTCTTTATTAAAAAAAATAATAATCTTTTATGTAATGAGTGAATAATTTCTAATTATTGTGATTTACATTTAGATAATGCTAACGATTCCACGGTGTCTTCTAACAACGACGAGCGCAGCTCTTCCGATTCAGAATCCTGGAAGCAGTCTGAGAGCACCGAACAAACCCCAGATGACGATAGTACTAGTATAATGAATTTTCCATTGGATACTAACGAAGGCCGTAGCCTACCAAACGTTCTGAAACGCATCAGTAATATTGTAGCATTAAAAAGTAATGTAAGTTTCAAAGATATTTTTTATAATGAACGAATGCGTTTTACTTTATTTTTTATTATAATAATATAAAGAGTTTTTATTATAATAATTATTTGTAACACAGAATTTACGTTCATATAAGGATTCTCAATTAAGAAGCTACTGGATGCCAGATAGTGTAAGTAAACAGTGCTATGAGTGTGGCGAAAGATTTACGACGTTTCGACGAAGACATCACTGTCGCGTGTGCGGACAAATCTTCTGTTCCAAGTGTTGCTCCGATCAAATACCAGGGAAAATTATGGGATGCACTGGTATTACAAATAAATTAATGTTACTCAAACACAATACTCATATACAATAGCTACTAATGCCTTGCGATTTTTATTTTGAGTTCAACATTGAAAATTGATGATTATACTCAAAATCAGAAATATTTTTTAACGTTAATTGAAAATATGAGACAGTTTTATTATTTATATAAGTGTAATGAAAATTGAATATCTATAAGTTTGCTTTTTGTAACTGAATATATACTTTCTGTACTTTATATGTAAAATATAGATACATATTTGAAATTTGGTGAAAGCGAGAAGGAAATTACAGTTTAATGTAGGAATATATAAAAAACAAATTTTATATACAACTAGCAAATATTACGTTATATTGGATGCAATTATCTTGTATATTTTTATAAATACATACGCGTAAGTATTCTCTATGTTATTTGTATCTTTTCATATTTTTCAGGAGATCTTAGAGTTTGTACATATTGCTGTAAAGTAGTTCTTTCGTATTTGCAATCATCGGATATGAGGAGTGATTTGTCGGCAGATTTGAAAGCTCTGCAGGAAGATCTTCAAGTAAAGTATGGAAATGATTCACCGCTATTAGCACGAAAACATGCTAATGAAACAATGGGCGATGAAACATCGATATGTCGAAAACCAAGTGTGGGATATATGGAAGAGAATTATGCAACTGGACGGTATGTTAAGCAATCTACACTAAAAAATATAGGTGTGAATTTAAACTAAAACACAGTGTTTATATAATTCTCATTGTACTGATATAAACCGCATTTATAAATCCACACTTATATTTTTAAAGTATACGTATATCTTATCTATATACTTGTTTCTTATACATTTGAATTTATTGTAGGTCGAGCGGTAGCTATTTAACTTCACAGGAACGTTCTCTTGTATTACAAAATTCGGCTTCTTTAAGAATGATCTGGGAAGAATTATTTCGCTCCAGTCAAGCCATTCAGTTGCAAACGCATAGAATTCGACTGAAAAGTTATCACAATTGTTTTCTGGCGAACGAATTGGTGAATTGGATGATAGTTCAGAATAAAGCAGCAACCCGGTACATATCTGAACAGTACTAGATTGTTAATTGTTCTAATCGCGCTAATTCATATCAAGACTGTAACTTGCACTTTTTTTTTAGTGTGCAGGCGACTGCGATAGGCCAAGCATTACTAGAAGCGGGTTTTATCGAATCAGTTGTCGCTGATTACGTATTCAGCGATTCGGCAATCGTATTTAGACCGGTACCGTTATCTTCCTTGCAAAATATAGACTTGTTAACGGAAAAGCGAACGACTTGCGATGCGCAAGAGCCAGCCTGGGTAAAAACTATTCCTCAACACGATTCAGCTACGGGTAATATGATAAATTAACATTATCAACAACGAGATGAACAATTGCTCAATGATATTCGATTACTTACAGATTCTGAGAGCGAGACTAGGCCGATGAGCTCGCACTCGCAAACTTTTGGTCGTTTACCGTCGTCCAGTTCGAGCTTTTATCTGGATTTAAATCTAGAAGCATCCACCGTCACGTTAAAGAGACCAACCTCGGAAGATTTAACCGCGATTTCCGTCGACAGTAGCGATGGAATAATCGAACAGAAGGAAATTAACCTTAAATCGCACGACTGCAATCTCAAAATATGTGACGATCTTTTAAGTGATACGCTTCAAGTACATGAATTTAAGGAGAAAAACGGTTGGCACAGAGCGACTAATCTGAGGACAGCATTTGGCGAATTAAGCGCATACGAATGTTTAACGTAAGTTTTTTTTCGGTATTTAATAATGACAATAGTGGTAAAGTAGAAAAATAAACGACATATTTGTTCATAGATCTGCGTACAAAACGCATGAAGATTCTCTTATTAAGCAACTTCTCAGCAAAGAAGGTTTGTCGCAAACGTGGTCGAATACGATTTTGTCTATCGCGCACCAGATAATCGATCATGTTAGGCCGGATCTGAATCATGACGCAGATAATTTAGATATTCGACAATATGTACAGTTCAAGAAATGCCTCGGTGATAGCAGAGATGACTGCGAGATCGTATCTGGCATAATTTGTAGTAAGAATATTGCTCATCGCGGTATGAACGCTATGATCGCTCATCCAAAAATCTTATTGTTACAATGCGGACTAATGTATCAACGTGTAGAAGGCAAACTAATAAGCTTGGAGCCTGTAATGATGCAGGTACGTTGCAATCTTTTATTATCTTCACTCAATCTTGTGTGTATACTTGTATTATTCTTAAAAATAATTTTATAATATTTTAATTTCTTAAATTCCTAGGAAAACGAGTATCTCGGACACACAGTAGCGAGAATCACCGCTCTAGGTCCAGATGTAGTATTAGTTCATCGATCCGTAGCCAGATTAGCTCAGGATAGATTAAGGGAATGCGGCGTGACATTAGTGCTAAATGTAAAGCTTAGTGTGCTAAAGAGAGTCGCGCGATGCACGGGTGCTAGTATTGTAAACACTATAGACGCGCACATAAGCGCAAGATATATGCTTGGCACGTGCAAAAAATTTTATTTAAGAAATTTTCCAGATGAGCGAAGTAAGTATAAACTATAATATCACTCCCTTACTTGAAACACAACGACGTAACACAAACTAAAAGTTTAATTGAGCTGTTTCACTTTTAGAGGAGCGATACTTAAAATATATATTTTATAACAGTTTATGAAACTTTAATATTCTCTCCTTCTATCTCTCTCTTAGGAGGTGTTAAGACACTGATGTATTTCGAAGGTTGTGCAAATCCACATTTGGGTGCGACAATTGTATTGCGAGGCGGATCACAGCTCGAATTAAAAAAGGTGAAAAACGTCACATCGATGATGATCTTTGCAGCTTACTCGTGGCGTCTTGAAAAATCATTTCTCATGGATGAATTCGCCAAACCACCATCACCTAAAGACAATTCGTTTCTGGATGAAACTTGTCAGAAGGATTCCTCGAGTGACGAAAAATTCGAAAGTTGCGTTATCGATGAACAGACGCACGTGATTGAAATGAAAAAACTGTCGAAGATAAATCAAAATCACGAAAATGTTTCTAATAGTGATCAAAAAATACAGAATATCCAGACAAATAATTCAAATACGCCTAAGAATGAAAATGATTCCGAAAATATTTTAAGTACAAATTCTTTAAGAGAAGTTTCATCGATATTATCGGAAGATTCTGATCCTTATGACACCTTAAAATTATTTAAAAAGAAATTAAAACCATCTCTGCACGATTCAAAGGATACCATGCCAGTGTCTTGCGAGAACAGTACGGTTTCACATAATGATGATAAATCCAAAAATTTGTTGGTAAATACGGGTTTTGATTCCGACATCACAGAAGTATATAATAATTCCACGGAATTGTTCGCGAGCAAGGAAACATCTACTGAACAAAAAACCGACGATCTCGTCGACAAGGCGAAGTTGAAAGACAAGATATCCTCGGAAGAAAAACGTATCTACGGGGAGTCCATAAGTGATCGAAGCGATCCATTGCATCAATATTTAAATGAAGATGATGAAGATGTATTTAATCATACGAGTCCGAGCAGTCAACGTTTAAGCGTCGCCGATTTTCCACTTTTCAACAAATTCAAGAAAGCGCTCCAAGACACTGTTTTGAGCATATCACCGTATTTAAAATTTTCAATACCCTATTTGGAGACCGAACTCGGAAGGAATTGCGTATTGAGGAGCTTTTTTCCGCGAGAGATCTATTATTCGGAACAATTTTTAGACAAAGTCAAGGAGATCAGGACGAACAGCGTGACTGTAGGCGAGCAGATCGACAATCGTGAGGGTGTAAACATCAAGCTGAAATCGCAGCATCCGTTCGTTCAGGCTCGTCTTACCACAGATGTTGATAATCGCGAAGTGCAAAGTCTTCTAGCAAACTTTCGTGCGTGCGGTAACAGACTTTATCCGACGCATAACGTACTGCTGGATAGGATACAGCAATCGCCAGCGTTCGAAAGCAATGAGCAGCAGGTGCCTTCCTGGCCGGATTGTTTGGATCCTAACAGCCACCAACGCTTGTCCGTGCTGTTTTGCAGTTTCTCGCACACTGGCAACAACACCCCAGCGTTCTGCGTGAATCCCTGGGTCGTAAACATGACTATGTACGGTCAGAACGACATCGCGCTCGGCCGCTTCCTAGAGCGTTATTGTCTGACGACAGAATATAAATGTCCGGCACAGAATTGTCGCGCACAAATTGCTCAGCATGTTAGGCGCTTTGCGCACGACGGTGGCTGCGTGCACATCACCCTCAGCGAAATGAGCTGCGAGCCATTCGTGCAGGAAGACACTGATCAAATCTTGATGTGGAGCAAGTGCATTAAGTGTAAGAGCGTGTCACCGGTGATACCGATGTCGGGCGATACTTGGTGCTTGTCGTTTGCCAAATATCTTGAGCTACGCTTCTACGGTGGTGTCTACACGAAACGCGGTATGGATGCGTGTCAGCATTCCTTACATCACGATCATTACCAGTATTTCACACGCAGGAATATGCTGGCCGTTTTCAAATTTACCAAGATTTCGCAGTGGGAGATCTCGCTGCCACCACCGTTGATTAACATCATCTATGATCCGAAGCAGCACGCCAATGTGATTGAAGAGATGAAGATCGTGACGTTGAAAGGCGATGAAGTTTTCTCAGCGATACGAGAAAAGCTGACGAGTCTGCAGACGGACCTAGAAGGCTTGAATCTCGCCAAACAACAACTAGCTAAAGATCAGCAATACTTTAAGAACAAGATTGAAGAGATCCAATTGAAGTTAACATCACCAACACTAGAGAATAAGAAGCTAGAAGGTAAAACTTCCGAGAAACAGGTGCAAGGGTTAATGTTCAGGATCGAGGATGGCATTGTAATACTTAAACGGCTCATTGCGGAGGCTGTGTTCACGTGGAATAGCAAATTATCAGAGATATCAGTCAAAAAGAAGGACGAACGGCCACGTCGATTCACCGAACGATCCATGACAGTCGGCAGTAATAGTATAGTCGAAACCGACGGGTATATAACTGAAGACACCGCATCGGAGTCGCAGGTTGAAGACTTGAGCCCTATGTCGGCCGATTACAATGCTGTCGACGCAATCGCAGCACAAAGTGACTTCCAAACATCCGAAGTGATCGAGAATTCTGATAATGAGCCAGCAGAATCCGCTAATAATCTCGAAGACGTCGTCACTGTTCAGGGCTCACCGAAAATGCATCAGAGATCACATTCCGACGTTCTACCACTGTCTTCTGATGACATGCACGATAAAAAGAAGAAGAAGAAGACGATTCTGTCACAATTGCTGCCATCTGTTTCTGTGAACCATATAATTTCGAATCCTTTGGGATCTTTAGAGCATTATCTGTTGCCTCTTGGGTATGTTGATTTGTAATCTCGAATCTTGTAGTATTTATAGTGCAGTAATGACAAATTCCAATTTCGAATCAAAATTTTAAACTATAACAGAAATGATAGAATAAGATTGTCAGAGTAGAAGAAAAAAGAAATTCTCAGATGAAAATTCCTTTCAACTCTAAAAATGCTATTATTTTGCACAGAAATTTGAATGAAAATATCTGAAAAATCAGAAAATTCTCAGAAAATATTTTCAAAAGTTAAGTGTTCATTAAGTGAATGTTTCATGAAATAAAAAATAACATTTTTTTTAATTACAAAAGATTTACTCTTTGCTTAATTTTTACTTGATTAAATCGA